TAGACAAACTAAAGCCTAATAAGTCACCTGGTCCCGATGAGATATTTGCCAGAGTATTAGAGGAATGTAAGGAAGAGCTTAGTATGCCCTTAGCAAAGTTGTTTAACATGTCATTAAAAACAGGTGTAGTACCAGAATCCTGGAGGATAGCGAATGTAATACCGATTTTCAAGAAGGGGGATAGATCACTATCCTCTAACTACCGCCCAATCAATCTAACATCAATAGTAGGCAAATTACTGGAAGCAATCATTTCAAACTCTATTCGAAATCACCTGGAGAAGCGCCGATTGATCAATGATTCCCAGCATGGCTTCACAAGCGGACGTTCTTGCCTAACTAATCTATTAACATTCTTTTCATCAGTTTTCGAATCGGTGGACGAGGGGCACAATTATGATGTGGTATATCTCGACTTTAGCAAAGCCTTCGACAGAGTCCCTCACGAAAGACTAATTAGAAAGGTAGAAGCTCATGGCATCAAAGGTGACATCCTTAAATGGATTAGGGCGTGGTTACAGGACAGGAAACAGCGAGTGAGCATTAACGGCACGAAGTCCCATTGGAGCAACGTCACAAGTGGAGTTCCCCAAGGCTCAGTACTTGGACCATTATTATTTATTATATACATAAACGACATAGATATCGGCATTGACAGCAACATAAGTAAATTTGCTGATGACACTAAAATAGGACGTGTTATCAAATCTGACTAGGACTCGGCAAAACTACAGGAAGATCTAAACAAATTTTTCGAATGGTCTGAAAAATGGCAGATGAAATTCAACGTCGACAAATGTAAAGTACTCAGTATAGGAGATGTAAACAGGGAAACCAGGTACCAGATGAACAACGATGCCATAGAGAAATCCGACTGCGAGAGAGATTTAGGAGTAATGATAAGTAGGAACCTTAAGCCAAGTAAACAATGTGTTTTTGCTCGTAACAAGGCTAATAAAGTACTTGGGTTCATACAAAGGAGTGTTAGTTATAAGACTAGCGAGTTCATCCTAAAACTGTATCTTGCTCTTGTGAGACCACACCTGGATTACGCAGTTCAGTTCTGGTCACCGTATTACAGAATGGATATAGAATCCTTGGAAAGAATTCAGAGGAGAATGACAAGACTAATCCCGGGCATTAGGAACCTTGAGTATAGAGACAGGTTAAAGCATCTTAATTTGCACTCCCTTGAGAGACGTAGAGCGAGGGGCGACCTGATAGAGGTGTATAAGTGGAAGACAGGGCTAAACAAAGGGGACATTACAAAGGTACTCAAACTATCCAACCAGGAGCGAACTCGTAACAATGATTTTAAATTAGACAAATTTAGATTTAGGCGTGAAATAGGTAAACACTGGTTTAGAAACAGAGTAGTGGATGAATGGAACAAGTTACCAAATATCATCATTAACTCGAATACGCTGAATTGCTTCAAACATAGGTTGGATGCTCATATGAGCAATAGGGGTTGGGTGCAAACGGGACTGCCCAGTATGGGCCAATAGGCCCGCTGCAGTTTCCTCCATTCTTATGTTCTTATAAGCATAGATATCAGACATGCTATAATAATATATAGTTATACAAACATGTGAATAAATGGTACAATGAATGGTAACAGAGTTTTGCCGTCAGGCGTGTTCACATATCTTGGTATTTACATATCTATACACAACTCACAATCAGAAATACCAACTAAACCGAGACTGATGTGCACGTGTTATTGTGTTCATTTTCCAAATACATAAGGCCTGGGGGGGGGGAGTGTACATATTCCTATAATCAGGTAACAGATTTGCACTCATAGTTATGCTGTCAATAGAAATTCATATACTAGTAACAAGGAGACAAGGGCAATAGGGTATACCTGCTAACTATACAGTCAGGCCCGTCCTTTCGGGGGGCGAACAGGGGCGACCGCCTGGGTCCCCGCGCGTGTGAGGGCCCCGCGGGGCCCAGCACTAGACCCAGTGACCTCGGACACATTACCTGTTGACTGGTTAATCTGAAATTGACGGCTTACGCCACCATCGCAACCCGTGACCTTACCATCCACAGCGACAGTCCCATGGGGGTGGGTTCCTCTGACCGCATAATGACTCCATATACAGTATATATTTTCTGGGGCCCCGCAGTGGCTGAGTTGCCCCGGACCCCGCACCCTCCTAAGGACGGCCCTGTATACAGTAGTTGTATTATTTGACGTATATAAAATGTGAGAACCAGGCAACAGTAACTGTTTATATAACTATTGTTGTAAATTCGTCAGATTGTAAAGAAATAAACATATGTCACTGACTAATGAAAGAGGAAGTAAAGAAACAAATCGGTTTACTGTACAATATTTGGCCAATATCGGTCACCCAAGCCTAAAACTCACTGCTCTACAGTAGCTATACACTTTCTCGATAAAACATTTATAGTGAAACATAATATTCGCTAAATGATCTTATAATGTTTTTGACAATTTTCCTTGTAATGTCTGTGTCACTGTTATTTACTTACATCAAATCAAATCGCTTTATGTCGACAAGCCCAATGTCGGTTTGTATAATTGTTTACAGAAGGGATATTACCTATATATAAGTATCATAGCAAACTCGTTAGAATGTATAGAAAAATATGTAATTTATTTATGACACAGGAAGAAAAATAGAAAATGAAAAAAAAAGTGCAGCACATAACCTGGCCATAGCGGTCGCCTCAGCCTACAGTACACACTGCATTACAAATTATAGATACTGTACTGTACCAGATGGGCGAGACGTACACCAGATACATGTTTGTATTATGTACATTATATATCTATTCATAAGTATCCTAACTAACTCGTTAGAATATACAGAAGAAAAAAAATTTATGACAGGAAGGACTGCAGAATTAGAAATAATGAAAAACTGTGCTCTATGACATTTTGACCATAATATTCGCCAGAGTTTAACATTCAATTATCACTCATCCCTTTACGTACTGAAATAGATACCGATGCCAGACACCTGCACCAACAAATCCTGGTGTCATGTAACCTGATAACATTACCCTCTTTTACTTTTATCCTCTTCACCACTGATCGGCTCGTTAGCCGCTTGGGCGATCCGTCACGTCTCTGTTACGCACTGTTGGCCAGTACTGGGCATGCACCGGCTCCAGTGTTGGTCAAGTCTGGTCTTGAAAGAGCTCACACTCGGTGCCGTCACAACACTTTCTGGTAGATTGTTCCAAGAGTTCACAACTCTCACTCCGAAAAAGTTTGCCCTCAGTTTTCTGGACTTGCGGCGTCTTCAATCTTGAGCTGCCACCCCCTTGTGGGGCGAGCGTCCGCCAGCTCCAAGTAAGGACACTCGACTGAGTAGTGCCCCTTGAGATGCTTATACACCTCAACGAGGTCACCCCTTGCCCGTCTGTAGTATAAGCTAGGCAAGTTCAGGCGCTCCAATCTCGCAGGGTAGCTGAGGTGCCGAAGTGCAGGCACCAGTCTGGTGGTCCTCCTTTTGAACATTTTCAACCAGTACTCCAGATGGGGAAGCACTTCACTCTTGAAGATCGTTACAAGGGACGGACCGTCTAGATATCTAAACGACCTTCTTATAAGACCCAATAATTTATTTGCCTGATTTACCTTCTTCTCGCAATGGCCCGAGAACTTCAGCTTATTGTCAACATAAACACCTAGGTCCTTCTCACATTCAGTCTCAAATAGTGCAATTTCTTCATCGTGTTGGGACATATGATACGCCTCCTTACCGTTGGTACGCCCCAGGTGCATCCTCTTACACTTCGTGACATTGAATCTCAGCAGCCATTTCTTCGACCATTCTTGGAGCCCACCAAGTTCCTTCTGCAGCTCTTCACAGTCCGCTTGGTTCTTGATTTCCCGAAATAACTTGGCGTCATCGCCAAACATTTGTATGGAGGAGTGTACAACATTTGGCATGTCATTTATGAAACAAACAAACAACAGCCTGGCTGGTGGAGGACCCATGTGTGTGTGTGTGCGCGCGTGTGTAATAATAGCAATAATAAAGAGCCATAGATAAATACGAAAACAGAAAAATCAGTCAGATCAGCAACCTGGGACTTGGTCGCATTTTTCGTGATGCCATATGGCAGTAGAGTTTACCATTAGACAACACATTACAATATGCTTCGAATTTCTTTCCAGGCGATAGTACATCCCTGTTTGAAAGCTGTTTACTACCTGCTACCTACGTTAATATCATCAAATTCTCTCACGTACAAGCAAAAGGAATTCACTTATATTTTCTTGATAGTCCTCTTATGTTTAGGTTAGGTTTCATTAAATTAAGTTGGGTTAAGTTAAGTTAGATTGGGTTAAATTCTGTTACGTTTGTTACAGTCGAGTTAATTTGTGTTTGGTAAGGTTGAGCTAGGTTAGATTACTGCAGATTAAGTTTAACTAGGTTAAGTTAGATTGGGTTAAGTTAGGATGTGTTTGTTTGGATTAAGTTAGCTTAGATGTCGTTGCTTTGTCTTAAATGGCAATTTTTGTTCATAAACTGTCTTGGGATGCGGTGGTCGACTGGATACAGTGCTCACCGCCCTCTCCATTTCAAAGGGTCGCTGGTTCACGCCCAGGGCCCTCAGCCAACGCTGACAGTTGGGGAAGTGAAGGTGATCGAATGGAGGAATTGTCTACAGTGTGCTGTATCCCCACTGCCTCTAATGGGTTGTAAGGCCTTTGGAATCCATTTTTCGCACACACTTAGCATACACGACTCCTTTACAAAAAAACAAATCTGGGAATAACACCAGGTTCCACATTTTTATTTTCTTTACATCGTCGTATAAAAAATTAAGATAAGACTGAAATCTTTTAAGACTGGGGTCAGAAGAACTGACCAATGACTACGTTATATTGGGGCTGAAAGGGACTGGCCACCAATCCTTTATGGAAAGGTTAGGCTAGACAGGGGCCTGTTAATATTAGGGAACGTACGAACAACCATAAGAATGATCATTCATAATAACCTTCTTTCCAGGGTCTAGATGACTACGCTGGGAGTATATGAACAACTGTCAGCCGCTGGCAGTGTGACGGAGGAGGGTACGATGGCTACTGTGCTGGATGTAAACAAGAGTTATATAAAACCTAACAACAATGTAAACATCGAGTAGACACGAACTACTACCGTCCTTAGAATAGAATACCCATCCTAGCCAGCAGTAAGCCCAAACATCCTTGGAAAGGGCTAGGAGAGCTTACGAAGTCCTACCCACAGGAAGCCGTCCCAGGAAGAATAGGACAGGCGGGAGAGACGAAGGATAGACCTGGCGGATAGGAGAAAAAGGAGCCTACCCACGGCACCATGATAGTGTTGTGTCGGATGGCGAGGAAGTGTTCACGACGCTTCATTCTGGCTAGCCTCATCCTCATCATCCTCTCCTATCAACTCATCCTCCTCATCTGCACCTACCAGTCAGTAACTTAATGTACCATTGAACCAATCAGTAAATTTATCTCCCAGTCAGTATCTCTATTTGCCGGTTAGAATCTCTATCTGCCAGTCAGTATCTATTTACCAGTCAGTATCTGTATCTGCCAGTCAAAATCTCTATCTGCCAGTCAGTATCTATTTGCCAGTCAGAATCTTTATCTGCCAGTCAGTATCTGTATCTGCCAGTCAGTATCTATTTGCCAGTCAGTATCTGTATCTGCCAGTCAGTATCTGTATCTACCAGTCAGTATCTGTCAGTCAGTATCTATTTGCCAGTCAGTATCTGTATCTGCCAGTCAGTATCTGTATCTACCAGTCAGTATCTGTATCTGCCAGTCAGTATCTATTTGCCAGTCAGTATCTGTATCTGCCAGTCAGTATCTGTATCTACCAGTCAGTATCTGTATCTGCTAGTCAGTATCTATATGTGCCGGTCAGAAAATTTATCAACCAGTTTACAACAAGATGACTGGCATAAGAAGCAGTTAGTGGATGTCTAGTACTAGAAAGAAAGACAGACAGACAGACGGACAGACACGTAATTAGTTTTAGCAGAGAAAATGGAAGATTGACCAAAAGAGAGAGAGAGAGAGAGAGAGAGAGAGAGAGAGATACCGGTATAGTTTTAGACTGGAAAATGCAGAGCCCAAAAGAACTCGTGGTATAACATCAGCAAATACTGTTACGCCAGAGGAATCCATTACACGTTATTGAGTGGAACCGTAACATGAATTACTAATGATTTTCTGTTATTAATAAGACCTAGAAAGATCTCTATAGGGGCAAGAGTCACCACATAAAAGTTGATCGTAATGAATCGTGACGTCATAACCACACCTGCCAATTGAGAGTTTGTTTATACTGTATGTTGACGTCATAACCACACCTGACAATTGAGGGTTTGTTTATTTGTTGACGTCATAACCACACCTGACACTTGAGGGTTTGTTTATATGTTGACGTCATAACCACACCTGACACTTGAGGGTTTGTTTATTTGTTGACGTCATAACCACACCTGACACTTGAGGGTTTGTTTATATGTTGACGTCATAACCACAATTGACGAGTTGACGGTAGAAATTTTTTCGTAAGATGGCAGGTCAATGGGTAAAGAAAATGCTTAAATTCACTATGGTAATGATATTTTTAAATAAATTGAGCCAAAAAGTGTCAAAAATAAGGGTTAAAGTTGCTAAAAAGTCACGTGACTGCGAAAAGCTGGGGCGAGCTTCCCAGCGGGAGACAGCCAGCTGTGGTTGTCCAACCTTCTTGGCTGATTGGCTCTGTAAATAATTATTATTAGATAATTAACTGTGCTTTACTGTACAACACATTAATACTATTTTGAATATATAAATATTACTAAGCACATAAACTAATTCAATGAATATTAGCTGCCCATACAACAAATTTCATAGTATAAACATTCAAAACAATATTGGTATTATTTTGGTCTTGGTCATCTGGGGAACCTAAAGCATCTAACTATGGGATTAAGTACTTTAAACAATTAGACACATTGTCTCTACAGGATTTCTGTCGCAAAAATTTTTTCGATCGCATAAGAAAATACAGATCATATGTTAGGTTAGGTTAGGTTAGGGTATGGTGAGTTATAAGGGTAGCTTAACATACACCGGTAAGGGGGGGAGGGGGTAGTAACTCAAAACTAGTGATTTCCGATAGAAATGAAGGTCTAAATCTTTCATAACACATAGCAAACCATCAGAAAAAAACATAGTCTGCATGTCTAAGTCCAGGGATGACCAAGACTTTAAATTTACCCAATATAGCCTATCTCGGACCTAAACATCAAAATCTTATGGTAGTTAAAGTAAAATTTTACCCATTAAGTAATATAAATGATGATTTATCCCAGTGGTTCATAAGCGAATCATCAAAACGATAACAGCACTATGTTGTCATGTTAACTAGCACCAGGCATTATCAAAACAAAGTCCAGACAATGTCATTACTTCTAAATTTACTCGTATCTCCATCTAGTACTGATATACTCTGTAAATGCACTGAAAAAAAATAGAAAGTTTACCATGTAAGAGTACATGACAGCTGAACTGGTGTGAACATGGGAGTTTTTTGTCAAAAAGAACATACAGTAAGAATGGAGGAAACTGCAGCGGGCTTATTGGCCCATACTGGGTAGTCCCATTTACACCCAACCCCTATCTCTCATATATCCATCCAACCTATGTTAGAAGCTGCTCTTCACGGCTCATTTCTTCAGGTCCGAAATGTCCATGACTTAGACAATAAAAAAAACACCCTTAAAACTTACCTGAACGTGGCATTTGGGCCATTCTACTACCTCCGACTGCAGCTGTGAAAAAACTAGTGACGTCATTGCAAATGGTGGCCCTGTTTCTAGAGAAATAGACTTATCTCGATTATTATAGCAGGACTTTAAAACTTTTATTGCAAATTATATGTACCGTATCACTCTACGATCTTGGCAGTGTATTTCTTGTGTTTGCCCAGAACCGTCAACTCTCCCATTGGAGGTTTGTTTATATAGTGACAACTTGGCAGTCTCGGCTTCGTGGACGTTAATGTTATAACATATTGCTGCACTTCAACAACTAAGGTATCCAACTTCAGTGTGTGTGTGTGTGTGTTTTAACTTGGAGACCTGTGGTATAATGGTCAGCATCCTCTCTTCGCAAGCTAGTGGACCCGAGTTCGATCCTCGGGCAGGGTGAAACTATGGGCAAGTTTCTTTATGCCATTTGCCTCTGTCTACCCAGCAGTAATTGGGAACCTGAATGTTAATCGATTTGCGGATCGTATTCCGGGGTATTGGTTAGCCAGTGCAGTTGGCGAGCTGACCAGTTTTCTCGGACTATTCCTTGACACTGCAGCTCATGCAACTCGTTAACTTAGGGTGTGGTTGTTGTGTTGGTGACAGCTTCTACACCTTAACAAATTCACGCCTAGGAGGCCCTTCGGCCGGCCATCCTCGATTTCGAGGGGCTTCCATTATAAAGGGCCAGGGAAGAAGATCCCCAAAGTTAAAGATACAGTTCGAAAAAATGAACAATATATTGCAGTTGAAATATTGTATATTCTAACTAAATTTTCTAAGTAAAATATATACAGAATTCTGACTGCAGGCAAAAAAAAAAAGTTGGCACTGCATTTTTTCGGTTTTCTATCTTGCCCTTTGGAGGCCTTTCTATAGTTTTCAAGAAGTAAAAATTATGCGACTCTATTGGATAATAAGAAACCTGCCAAGAAGGTCAGAAAATAATATGAAATTTCCACAAAACGGGAAGTCAACTACTCTGGTTCATGTTTCAAATATCCACACTTGGATCCCTGCTGAGGCTAATATCTCCCCTCCCCTCTACAGTGAGTATATCTTGGCCGTGCTACCTGACCCACCACTGCCGGTCCAGCGACGCTCAGCAGAGGCCAGTGGCAGCAATGGGACGACGGACGGTGCGAGGACCAGAGACGGAAGGCAAGGAGAGAGTGACCGAGGCCATAAGGAGGAAACCAGCCCCAAGATTCTCTGTCTTATCGTGACGTCACCACAGTACCACGAAGAACGGGCTGCCCACGTAGCAGCCACCTGGGCCACCCACTGTACCCGGGCCGTCTTCCTCACCACCGCCCACCACCCGCTCCTCCCTGACACCCTTCTCACCTCCGGCGCCTCCACCTACCACCAGCTCTGGGACAAGGTCACACAAGGTAGGATTATATTATTTTATGGTTAGGATAAGTTAGGTTAGGTTAGGTTACGTTACGTTACATTACCTTACCTTACCTTACGTTACGTTACGTTACATTACTAGCTCTTGACACATATTCCGACCTTAGAGTCCTCTGGGGTTGACTGTGAGGTAATGTAGGTACCTGTTGTAAATCGAAAGTTGCGAATTCGTATTCAGGGAAAGTTGTTGGAGCTTCCAATAACTTGATGACATAAATCATTGACTCTTCAGGCTTCTACGCCCTTAACTCATGAGACATAAAGGGAATCATGACCTTAGCATGCTTCCCTGTTGGGTGCTGTAAACGCTTCTGCGCTTCACCTTACACAAGTATGTAGGGGGGGGAGTGCCCAATTAAAAAATATATATATATTAACTTCAGCGTGTGTGTTTTCCCTACACCACTCTCTTCTCTCCTCTTCTCACTTGTTTCCTCTTCTCACTTCTCTCCTCCTCCAATTTCTCTCCTCCTCTCACTTCACTTCACCTCTCACTTCTCTCCATCTCTCCCTTCTCTCCACCTCTCACTTCTCTCCACCTCTCACTTCTCTCCACATCTCACTTCACTTCACCTCTCACTTCTCTTCACCTCTCACTTCTCTCCACCTCTCACTTCTCTCCATCTCTCACTTCTCTCACCTCAGACTTGTGTCCGCATCTCAATTCTCTCCTCCTCTCACTTCACTCCTCTCACTTCTCTTCACCTCTCACTTCTGTCCGCCTCTCACTTCTCTCCTCCTCTCACTTCTTCCCTCCTCTCACTGATCTCAATCTTTCACTTCTCTCCTCCTCTCACTTTTATCCTACTCTCACTTCTATCCGCCTCTCACTTCTCTCCTCCTCTTACTTGTCCCCTCATCTTATTTCACTCCACCTCTCACTCCTCTCCTCCTCTCACTTCACTCCTCCTCTCACTTCACACCTCCTCTCACTTCTCTCCTCCTCTCTCATCTCTCCACCTTTCACTTCTCTCCTCCTCTTACTTGTCCCCTCATCTTATTTCACTCCACCTCTCACTCCTCTCCGCCTCTCATTTCACTCCTCCTCTCACTTCAATCATCCTCTCACTTCACTCATCCTCTCACTTCACTCCTCCTCTCACTTCTCTCCTCCTCTCACTTCTTCCCTCCTCTCAATTCTCTCCATCACTCACTCCTCTCCTCCTCTCACTTCTCTCCTCCACTCACTTCCTCCCTCCTCTCACTTCTCTCCTCCTCTCACTTCTTCCCTCCTCTCACTTCTCTCCATCTCCACTTCTCCTCCTCCTCTCACTTCTCTCCTCCTCTTACTTGTCCCTCATCTTATTTCCTCCACCTCTCCTCCTCCTCCTCTCATTTCCTCTCCTCCTCTCACTTCAATCATCTCCTCTCCTTCCTCATCCTCTCCACTTCCTCCTCCTCTCCTTCTCTCCTCCCCTCTCACTTCTTCCCTCTCTCAATTCTCTCCTCCTCCTCCTCTCCTCCTCTCCACTTCTCTCCCTCCCTCCACTTCCTCCCCTCCTCTCCCTTCTCTCCTCCTCCCATTCTTCCCCTCCTCCACTTCTCTCCATCTCCCTTCTCTCCTCCTCTCACTTCCTCCCTCTCTTTCCTTCTCTCCTCCTCTCACTTCTTCCCTCCCCTCTCACTTCTCTCCATCTCTCACTTCTCTCCTCCTCTCCCTTCCTCTCCTCCTCTCACTTCTCTCCTCCTCTTACTTTCCCTCTTCTTCTTTCACTCCCCCTCTCCTCCTCTCCTCCTCTCCATCTCCCTCCTCTCCCACTTCCTTCCTCCTCTTCTTCCCTCATCCTCTCCTTCTAATCCTCCTTTCTTCTCTCACCTCTCACTTCTCTCCTCCTCTCCACTTCCTCCCTTCTCTTCTCTCCTCCTACTTCTCTCCTCTTCTTCCTCCCCTCTCCTCCTCTCCACTTCTCTCCCTCCTCCACCTCTTCCCTCCTCTCCCTTCCTCCTCCTTTCATTCACCTCCTCTCATTCTCTCCTCCTCTCACTCTCCCTCCTCTCACTTCTTCCCTCCTCTCCCTTCTCTCTCACTTCTCTCCTCCTCTCCTTCTCTCCTCCTCTCACTTCTCTCCCATCTTTCACTTTTATCCTCCTGTCACTTCCTCCTCCTCTCTCCTTACTCATCCTCTCCTTCCTCCTCTCATTTCCTCCACCTCTCACTTCTCCACCTCTCACTTCCTCCCCTCCTCTCCTTCCTCCTCCTCTCCTTCACTTCCTCTCCCTTCCTCCCCTCTCTCTTCCCTCCTCTCACTTCTCTCCTCTCCACACATCTCTCCAACTCTCCCTTCTCTCCACCTCTCACTTCTCCCCTCATCTCATTTCCTCCACCTCTTTCCTCTCCTCCTCTCCCTTCCTCCTCTTATTTCCTCACATCTCTCCTCTCTCTCTCCCTTCCTCCTCCTCTCACTTCCTCCACCTCTCCCTTCACTCCTCTCACTTCATACCTCCTCTCCATCTCTCCACCTCTCACTTCTCTCCACCTCTCCTTCTCCCCTCATCTCATTTCACTCCACCTCTCCCTCTCTCCTCCTCTCACCTCTATCCTCTCCACCTCCCTCCCACCTCTCACTTCACTCCACCTTTCACGTCTCCCGACCTCTCGCTTCTCCCCTCTTCTCACTTCTCTCCTCCTCTAACTTCTCTCCTCCTCACGTTTCTCCTCCTCCTCTCCCTTCACTCGACCTCTCACTTCTCTTCCTCCTCCCAATTCTCTCCACCTCTCACTTCTCTCCTCCTCTCACTTCTCTTCTCCTCTCACTTCTCCACCCACCTCTTGCCTCTCCTCTCCTATCCACTTCCTCCTCCCCTCTCCACTTCCCTCCTCCTCTCCTTCACCTCTCTCCTCCTCTCTCACTTCTCTCCTCCTCTCCTTCTCTCCTCCTCTCCCTCTCCTCCTCTCACTTCCCACCTCCTCCTCTCCTCCTCTCACTTCTCTCCTCCCTCTCATCTCTCTCCACCTCTTTCCCTCTCCTCCTCATACTTTCCTCCATCTTCCTCCCACCTCTCTCCTTTTCTCCTCCTCTCACTTTTCTCCTCCTCTCACTACTCTCCTCCTTTCACTTCTCTCCCACCTCTTACTTTTCTCCTCCCTATCACTTTCTCCCTCCTCTCACTTCACTCCCTCCCTCTCCCTTCCTCCTCCTCTCCCTTCACCTCCCTCTCATTTCACTCCCACCTCTCCTTCCTCCTCCCTCTTCTCTCCTCTTATTTCGCTTCACCTCTCACTCCTCTGCTCCTCTCACTTCTCTCCTCCTCTTACTTCCTCCTCCTCTCCACTTCCTCCTCTCCCATCCTCCTCCTATCACTTCTCCTCCTCTCCACTTCTCTCCTCCTCATCTCTCCCTCCTCTCACTCTCTCCTCTTCTCCTTCCTCTTCCTCCCTTCTCTCCTCCTCTCCCTCTCTCCTCCTCTCCCACTTCACTCATTCCTCTCACTTCTCTCTCCCTCTCACTTCTCCTCCTCACTTCTCTCCTCCTCTCACTTCTCTCCTCCTCTCACATCTCTCCACCTCTCATTCCTCTCCTCCTCTTACTTCTCCATCATCTTATTTCACTCCACCTCTCACTTCTCTCCTCCTCTAACTTCTCTCCTCTTAGTTCACTTCACCCCTCTCCTCCTCCCCTCTTTCCACTTCTCTCCTCCTCTCACTTCTCTTCCTCTCACTTTTCTCCTCCTCTCACTTCATTCTTCCTCTCCTCCTCTGCTCCTCTCCCTTCCTTCCTCTCACTTCTCTCCTCCTCTAACTTCTCCTCCTCTTAGTTCACTTACCTCTCACTCTCTACTCCTCTCCTTTTCTCCTCCTATCACTTCCTCTTCCTCTCCTCTTCCTCCACCTCTCACTTTTCTCCTCCTCTCACTTCTCTCCTCCTCTCACTTCTCTCCCTCCTCTCACTTCCTCTTCCTCCTCTTCTCTCCTCCTCTCACTTCTCTCCTCCTCTCATCTCTCCCACCTCTCATTCCTCCTCCTCTTACTTCAACCTCATCTTATTTCCTCCACCTCTCACTTTTCTCCTCCTCTCCTTCACTCTTCCTCTCCTCCTCTGCTCCTCTCCTCCCACTCCCCCCTCACTTCTCCCTCCTCTCCTTCTCTCCTCTTAGTTCACTTCACCTCTCCTCCTCTGCTCCTCTCCACTTCTCTCCTCCTCTCACTTCCTCTTCCTCTCCACTTTTCTCCTCCTCTCCTTCATTCTTCCTCTCCTCTTGCTCCTCTCCACTTCCTCCCCCTCTTTCCCTCTCCTCCTCTCCTTAGCTCCTCTTATTCCTTTCCTCCCTCACTCCTCTGCTCTCTCACCTCTCCTCTATCCCTTCACTCATCCTCTCACTTCCTCCACCTCTCACTTTCTCCTCCTCTCCCCTTCTCTCCTCCTCTCACTTCTCTCCTCCTCTCCTTCTCTTCCTCTCACTTCTCTCCTCCTCTCACTTCTCTCCTCCTCTCACTTCTCTCCTCCTCTCCTTCTCCTCCTCTCATTCCTCTCCTCCTCTTACTTCAAACCTCATCTTATTTCACTCCACCTCTCACTTCTCTCCCTCTTCTTACTTCTCCCCCCATCTTATTTCACCCCACCTCTCGCTCTTCTCCTCTCACTTCTCTCCACCTCTCACTTCTCTCTATCTCTCCTTCTCTCCTCCTCTCTTCTCCTCCTCTCCTCACTTCTCCTCCCCCTCTCCCCTTCATCCTCTCCTTCTATCCTCCCTCTTACTTCTCCCCCTTTCTTTTCACCTCCACCTATCGCTCTTCTCCTCCTCTCATTTATCTCCCTCCTCTCCTTCTCTCCGCTCTCCCTTCTCTCCACCTCTCCTTCTCTCCTCCTCTCCTCCATCCTCTCTACTTCTCTCCTCCTCTCATCTCTCCCCTCTCATTCTCTCCTCCTCTTGCTTTCCTCATCTTATTTCCTCCACCTCTCCACTTTTCTCCTCCTCTCACTTCCTCTTCCTCTCACTCTCTGTTCTCTCCTTCCTCCCTTCTCCCTTCTCTCCTCCT